ACAATGTTTAACTATAAGTTAAGAGTTTGGTCATGGACAAATGCTGTCATGATCCAAAATGCAATAACTAGATTTGGACCCTGCTAGGAATAGGAATGATTAATCTGGCCTGAGAGCTGTAGTCTGAGTCTGTGACAAGATGTCCCCAGGAGAGATGCCCTACAAGTCTCAATGTTATCTCTTACTGTGTCCATATAAAATAGCTAATATTGATATGTTGATAGTTATTGGACTGAGGAAAAGAGGAAAACACTTTAAGGAGGTATTTTGCCTGGAGCAGTCAGGAAGGGCTTTAGAATACCTATTAGGTGGGCCCTCAGGAAGGGCTTTCTTATGTTGATTTTGCTACCTGACTAGGTGCAGTGTTAGCCCAGACTGCAGGGGAGTTGGAGGCTAGAGAGCTGGAGAGAGAGAGCAGGGATGCAAGATGGACCTCGGAGAGACTAGCAAGGAGAACATATGCTGGAGAGAAGCTAGGCCCTCTATAACAAAAATTTCTTCTATGGGATAAACTTCCTTGTAATAAACTGCTACTAAGATCAACCGGCCTGGCCCTCGTCTCTTCCTTCGTCTGCCCTTGGTCAAGAGCTGTCCCGATCCAGGATCCAGGCCACACACAGTGGCTCAAGAGCACTGAACTTAGGTGGTGAGATAGAGCCGTCCAGAAAGCCCTCGAACACACAACCTTCAACATGTGTAGTTTTTTACACCTGAGCTTTATGTTACTGCCATCACTACCTCATCCCGTAGCAACACCAGCACCACATTTATGGACACCACAAACAGTATCTTTGAAAATAATGAAGGAATTTCACTTTATCTCAAAGTCATGGGACAAAATTGAACTCTTGTGAAGTCAGCCTGGAAATTCACATATATACCATGTGGTTTAAAGGGTCTCTTGATATAATAACTATTTATATAAGCTAGGCATCATGAAATTGATTTATACTGTGTTGATGGAGTTGTATTTAAAGGTAAAGGTAAAGGCCCTCCCGTTGATCGTCGATTTGCTCGAGCGGGCCCAGTAACGTCTCCATTGGAGACTTTGTTGTTACTGTGTCTGGCATATCCAATACTCTCGGTAGCTTGCCGGGCTCTATTAGAAGATGCATTTGTTTTGAATAACGGTGCAATGGAGTTCTATTATCACATGTGTGGCTGAGTAACACACTAATTTTAGTTCCTCTGTGTCAACCCAATGCCTCATTTAATTCCCACAATTATATACATATATATAAATATATATGTATACATACATACACACATTTCTCATAACCAATGTATGAGAAAAAAATTGAGTGACCTTGCTGGCAAGCAATACTTTAAAATTCCGTCCTCTCTTTTATTTCTAACTAGGATCTCACAAAAATTATAAAAACAGGAGGAGTTTCACACCAAGATATGTGTCAGTAGTTGTGCATTTTCTTTCTTCTATTAGGAGTTCAGGAGTTCTAAAATTTCTGTGTGTGAAACACTTATGATAGTAGCTTATCTACCTGCAATTCTGTTGTCCTACAAACTGTGTTTAAGGTAAAGGAAGGGATTACCACAAGGGGATTTTACTTTTCCTTGTATAGCCACTATCCTTTTAGTTTGGATCTAAACACCTCTAAACAAATCCACGCAGGTTCCGGGGCCAAGATCTCCAAGCCTACTTGGATTGGAGTCGAGCATCCTCCACCCAGATCCTCCAAATTCCAGTAGGCGGGGGTCACACCCACCACCTGGCCCCCTGGCGCCGTGTAATCCCATCAACGGCCAAGACTCAGAGACTATAAAATCCAGCTCCCGATTTTATAGTCTCTGACTATAAAATTTATAAAATCCTGACATCTTATCAGGACATCTTTTTTATGACATCTTATTATCTCATTCCTACTTTGGACAAACTTGCAGGCTATCGAATGTAGCCTGCCCACAAGGCAGAGTCTGGCAAACTCCCCGTGGCGTACCCAATATGCCAAATACCAGTAACAATGATGGGTCTCATTCTCCTAAAGAGCCTTGAATATAATCTAAGGGCTAGGATGAAAGAGACGTTACTAGGGCCTGCTCGAGGCAATCGACGAATAACAGGATGATGAATGAATGAATGAAACACCTCTGCCCACATCAGTTGCTGTTTTCCTCTGGTGCAATCAAGGAATGTCAAACCTCTGTTTCTACTGTGTTTTATGCCTAGTCTTGACTTCACTTCATGACATAGCCTTCTACTGACTTCATTACTTAGCCTACCTACTTTACACTTCTGTAGTTATCTGATAACTACCTGGACAGGGGTAAACAGAGGATTGTTCCTCTAGTCAGAAACAATAGATGCTCAAGACTTGAGCGTACATAGGGCATGGCCGAGACACAGCCACTCACAAAAACCATAGACTCACAGTATATGACAAAGTTTATTAAGAAACAATGGTTAGAGGCTGAGGGAGAAGGTTTAGTGCTCTAACATAGGTGTTGGAGGGAGGGGAAATGGGGTATTGTCATGACTAGGAGGAAGATGCTGGAGCACTGTTCTTGATGCTCTAAGCTAGACGCAAGGTTGAAGTATACCCGAAGAAGCCTGTTTCCCAAATCTCAAGCCATTGGTCGCTGGCAAATCAAGGACAATTAATCTATGCTATTCTTAGAAATGTTAGGTTCCCCTGGCAAACAACCTGGTTCCCAGAGAAGTCAGTACCTGGGCACTCCCTACAGGCCCAGTGACCTCTAGTGCTAAGGAGATTGTGCCAGGGAGAACTCCAACACACTCCAGATTGTTAGAATATAGAAATGAGGGATGGTGGAAATCCGGGATACATGAATAGCATAATTCTCCAGCTCATCAGAACTGCCTTAGAGGCACACAGGAAAACAAAGGGTCATGACTGGGTGTATTCTTCAGTCTGACTCCTATGCACAGAGCTTTGAAGCATTTTTTATTATAATCAGATAGCTTGGATGTCAGTGATTTTCTTGACTCAGGAGGCAATTTATTACAGAGCAATGTTAGCTTGCTTTCTTGTCTTATCTTCCACAAGTAAATGATTTGAAGCTCATAATAATTACCTGTTTGGTGCACAAATGATAGGCAATGTCTTATTATCAAAAAAGCATTTGGAACAGCACCTGTGGTTGGCTTTGTGGTTGAGTCATGCTTAAATGGAATTAAAAAAAAATCATAGACCCCCCACCACCACCACACACACACACACTGGGGAAAAATAAAGTGAAACTGAAAATTCAGGACTTCTTTGGTATTTTGCCTGATACTTCCACAGCTAGGATATTTTACAGATTCTTCCCCAAACATTTTGCTTGCAAAAGGAAATTTAGAATATAGATGGAGGGTAACAGCTATCTATCTATCTATCTATCTATATATATATGATACAATTTAAAACAGATTTTGCTTGAACTAATCTTTGTGATTTTTACCTGGGTATGTGAACTGTAAAATCACCATCCTATCAGTTAAAATTGTTATTCATAATAAAAATGGACATACTTGTAGATTAGATTAAACACCAACTGAAATGCAATGAAAATTGCTAATCTAAAACTTCAAATTTGAAGGTTACATATTCATTAAAAATTCAATAGTCATTTAAGCCATCTTCAATTTGGGAGAAAAAAAACTTATACATTGGGTTGATGATTATGTAATTAGACCATATTGCAGAACTGTATTTTAATGAACCGCTCACACTAGGAGGTCAACATCACCAAAAGTAAAATGCATAGACTTGAGATATCAATGCATTTTCAATCCAATTGTTTATATTTTCAGAAAGAAATTTTTAAGTTTTAGAGGACACTCTTATTTAAATTAGGCTCAATTCAAAAATCTCTAGTTATGTCATGAAAATCTGATGTAGTAATCATTCCAAATTATGTTATGCATAGAAGATAAGGAAATGACTTTTTAATACTTAAAAATATCTGTGTATCACTTCATGTAGTCATGCACACCAAGGTTTGATAGAAATGATGGAAAGAATTACTTACCGAGGCATTAAAGACAGAGGTACTATAATAATATCCCAGTCATAGAGATAATAGTGCCCTGATCATATTGTAGCAATTTCTTCTTAGTCATTTTAATAATTACTACAATATATTCTATAGTTTTACATAATGGTATATGTAAAATACATTTAGAATGAAAACAAAATAAAGACAAATATATGGTCTGTATTTTCCAAATTCTACACTCCATTCATGGCATTATTTTTCTAATTAAAATTACAGAGTAACCAAACATAGTTTAGTGGATAAGGCTCTTGCTTTAACATGAATGATCTAGATTCAGTCCCCAGCCCCCCAAGTGGTTTCCTGAGTACTGTCAGAAGTCACCTCTGATGATAGACCCAGAAATAAGCCATGAGCACCACTACCATGTGTGTCCCCCAAAGTAAGAGTGAAATATAAATGAGTGATTTTGTGTGTATGTGTTTTGGTTCTGAGTGTTGAATTAACTCAGCCATTGGGAATACATGATTTGGAATGGAAATTTCCTTGCAAAGGCAAACATGTTAACAGCACCAGAAGGCAGGCGGACACGGTGTGTGTGACCCAACACTGTGGCTGGCACAGAGTCGCAGTTCTTTACTTACAGTGGAGAAATTCATGCTGGCGGGTCGTTCCTCCAGTCGAAAGTGAAACCCAAAAGGTGGTTGGTTCCATCAATCACTTCAAAGTCAAGCCCATGAGAGAGCAACAGCACAGTAGGGAGAGTGTTTGCTTGGCAAACAGCTGCCCTGACTTCTATCCCCATATGATTCTCTGCACACCTCCAGGAGTAATTCCTGAGTGCAGAGCCATAAGTAACCCCCCGAGCATCACCCGGTGTGATCCAAAAAGTGAAAAAAAAAAAAAAAGCCCACAAAAAAGGGGCATTATTAGCAAAAAGACGCAGTATCCAATAACAAAAAAATACTTGATCAATGGCAATGCGCTCCCCCTTTTCTGCTGTCTCACTGGATATCTTCTCTCTTGTGTTTTGGGGACACCAACAGCAACTTGGAGTGTCCGCTGATGCAGGTTTTAGCAGCACAACCCGGGAGTGCCAGCAGCAGCTCGGCCAGCAGCCTGGGGAACTCCATCACAGCCTGTAAGAAGGTAACCTTGGCTAGTCCCTTCCTCTTGATGACTGCTCCCGGGATGGATGGGTCTGGGCTTTGATTTTTCACAGTCCTTTAATACAAAAAATCCAGTAGAACGGTTCATAAATGGTTTCTCTACCCCAAAGTTATCAAAATCACTGACTCCAGTAAATCCTCAGAAGGCCCAAGTCACATAAATGGTCAAGGTATGCCTTGACCATTTATGTCTCTCTTATATCTCAATTTCTGTTCATCTACTCTCATCTCAAACTTCAGCTTAGGAAACTGTCTCCAGCATCCTTTCCAAAAACCCAATACAAATTCGCAAGGGCTCAAATGTTACGCTAAGGTTTTTATTCTAAAAAAAAGTATGTTTTCTCTTTTAATATTTTCTTTAAGAGAAATGTAAATGGGAGAAGCGTAATTGCATTGCTTAGAATATAGACGTCAGACTTATCAGTAAATATTGTATTAAGACACTCACATAGCTTTAAAGTCAAAAGACATTGGAGCAACACAAAATCATCTTGCAAACTTATTTTTTCCACCAAATGTAAGACTCATAAACTTAAAGTAAAGTACCACTTGTCATTTCTTTTTATTATTATTATTATTTTTGCTTTTTTGGGTCACACTTGGTTATGCACAGGGGTTACGCCTGGCTCTGTACTCAGGAATTATTCCTGGTGGTGCTCAGGGGACCATATGGGATGCTGGGAATTGAACTCGGGTAGGCTGCATGCGAGGCAAATGCCCTACATGCTGTGCTATAGCTCTAGCTCCTACTTGTCATTTCTTTGCTACTTGCTTTGTTTGGTTTTGTTTTTATTTGATGACCACAAATAAAAGTTCTCAGGGGCTACTCCAACACTGTCTAAAAGTAATTCCTAGTTGTGCTTGACTGACCAAATGCGAAGCTTAAATTGGGATTTGTTGTATGCAAGGAAAGTGCCTTACTTTCTATCTATCCAGCCCACTTTCTTTGTTATTTTTATAGTACACAAAATTTTTTAATGCAGAAAATAAATGTTTACCTAATTGTGTGCAATAATTAACAGACTCAATATAAATAGATATACGAAATGTATAGTAGATACATATTATATATGCATGTGTAATATATATATTATGCAATATAAATTGCATAAATGTATGCTGTATCTACTAAAAAGATTTGTCCAATTCTGAATCTACACCTAAAACTTTTATGGTTATTTAAAACTGAATTCTAGAGAATAAGTTGTGCTTTTGAACCAAATGTAGAAGATACACTAGTGATTAATTATAAAAATATTTGTAAATGCATATGGGACACCTGGTTTTATTTCTAGCACCACATGACCCCACAAAATATTTTATCCACAGATGAATAAATTCTGTTAGCAAGAATTTATATATGTATATAAATTATGCATCATATATATATACATATGTGATGTTTTGAAGGGCTGGAGCAATAGCACAGCGGGTAGGGCATTTGCCTTGCACGCAGCTGACTGATCTGGTGTTTGATTCCTCCGCCCCTCTCAGAGAGCCCGGCAAGCTACCGAGAGTATCTCACTGGCACAGCAAGGCATGACAAGCTACCCATGATGTATTTGATATGCCAAACACAGTAACAACAAGTCTCGCAATGAAGACGTTACTGGGCCCCCTCAAGCAAATCAGTGAGCAATAGGAGGACAGTGCTACAGTGCTACAGATGTTTAGATAATGTATAAAGTATATATATACATAAGTCACTGATTACTGTTCAGTTAAACTTATTGATTCCCTAATTATATCATTGTTTTGTAGTTTTTCAAGTGGCAAATAAATAAGTCTGCACTAGAGTCTGTATATTGATCACATGACCTCACAAAATATTTGATTGCATGCATAAGCAATTATCAAAATAAAGCTGCCCAACTAAGAACTCTCCACATACAATTTGAAGTGCTCCTAAGAGGTGCTCAGTAGACCTGGCAACACATCACAATGAGAATCTGCCAACTGGGCCTTTGATTCAATACTCAGGATCAAAGATGAGGTATTGTTCAGACCCTGGGATACAGGATTATCCAGTCCCTCCCCCTGTAACTCTCCACCCCTCACTCCCCATGTTCATGGTCATCCAGGGTCACACCTGCTGGTGCTTAGAACCCTCCAGGATTTAGGACCTTTCAGGGCCTCCTAAATCCTGGAGGGTTCTTATGCATGTAATTTGCATAAGGGAGACTTAGAATCTCTCCCCAGTAGTACATAGTTCCCTGAGCACCCTGTGAATATTCTCTAAACATGCACAAATGTGGCCCCCAGACAAGCAATAACAAAAACCATGCATATATATACATAAATTTAAAAGCAACATCTAAAACCCAGCAATTTTCCAGAGATCCAATCAGGCTGAGGCACGTGCACAGCACGAGCCTAAATTTCCTGAATAATACACTCCACCCCACTCTATGTTTTATATAATTTATTATTCTTTCTTCTCTGATGAAATTCTTATAAAGATGGCAGTGCTAAAATTCCTGCTTTTAAATGCAAGAACTAGAGACATCAGGATTCTAAATAATTTACAGTTACTTAGAGAAGAGCTAAAAATCTTCAAGTTCTAGGTATAGATTGTTTAACTCTTGGACCAAATTAGAAAGTCCTCACCAGCTGCTATTTTAAATTATATTTATTTTTAAATCTGTTCTGACTGATCTGAGCCTGGCATTTTAAAAAGGACTGCAAGCAGACTGCCTGAACTGAGCACTCAATTCAACCACTACAAGTAATGTGTACTGGAGCAAATTATGTCACCTATTCACACCTAGATTTGCTCTTTTGAAAACAAAACAAATATTACCTGCTTCATAAGGTGAGACAAGAATTCAATGAATTAATACCTGTGAAATGTTTAAAGCAGTGCCTATCGTATTGTAAATCTTCAGAATAAAAATGACCAATTTCTAATAATATTCTACCAAATATACTATACCAGGAAATAATTCAGTAATAAGGCACTACCATCTGAAAAATTTTGTGACATTATTATCCAGCTCGATATTTTTCTGGTAAAATGAATATCAAATGCATTTCCTTAAAATTAAATTGTGTGTAGGGTCAGGAAGTAGCTCAGAGGTCTCAGGCATGTAATTTGCATAAGGGAGACTTAGAATCTCTCCCCAGTAGTACATAGTTCCCTGAGCACCCTGTGAATATTCTCTAAACATGCACAAATGTGGCCCCCAGACAAGCAATAACAAAAACCATGCATATATATACATAAATTTAAAAGCAACATCTAAAGTTTCCAAATAGATTCATCAGTATATAAATATATGTAATCATATATGCATATAACATATATACATTAATAATAATTTAGGTTTTAAATAGATTAATATTCACCCCAGATTTACTTCTCCTATTAGTACTAGTATCTTGAACTATATGAACTCGACTTTTATATAGATCAAAAATAGTGCTCCTGCCTAAAGAGAATTAAAATTCTGTTAGATTTGGGAGAAATAGAGACATATCTTAAATGATCCCATATTGAAGAATTTGCATTCTAGTTTGGGAAGAAGAACTGATTTCTTATGTTAAAAGAAGAGTAATAATATGCAAGTTAAATAATTGTACAACATACAGTAATATATGGATAGTATATTATGTGAAAAATAAAGCATTTTTATTTATTAAGACTAAGAACAGAGAGAATGTAGATATTCAGAAAGAGAGCAAGATCTTTTTTTTAAGACAAGGATATTTATTTCACTGCTACTACTCAATATAATATTTGGAGTACTTGCCATATAATTATGCAAGAAAATGAAATTAAAGAAATTCAAATTGGTAAAGAAGTCACATTATCATTATCTGTGAATGACATGATATTGTACATAGAAAAAACTAAGGTCTCAAATAAAAATAACTTCTAATAACAATAGATTTATACAGTAAAGCATTGAGCTACAAAAATCAATGCACAAAAATATGTCCTATTCTTATATCTTTTTTTATTAGTGAAACACCATGGGGTACAGTTGTAGACTTACAAATTTTTGTGCTTGGGTTTCAGTTATACAGTGATCGAACACCTATCCCTCCACCAGTGCCCATTCTCCACCACCACTGATCCCAGTATCCCTCCCACCCCCATCCCCCCATCCCACCTTAAGTCTGTGGCAGAGCATTCCCTTTTGTTCTCTCTCTCCTTTTTAGTGCTGTGGTTTGCAAAAGAGACATTGACTGGCAATCATGTTCGGTCTATAGTCTACTCTCATCATGCATCTCCCAACCTGGGAGAAACCTTCCAACATCCTTTATTTGGTGCTCCCAAATAAAGGAGAGGCAGATCTTAATGTGAACTACAGCAGACTATGAGATTAGAATGGGTGAAGAGAATAACCAAATTTAGGGAGTTCCCTACAAATTATGCAGAAGAATTAAATTAATTTGTGCTTTTGCATACTGGAGATCATTAATACTATTTGTAATTCACCATTTCACTTCAAATATCCCCTTAAGCTTACATAATAATTGCATTCAATAGTATCCATTTGTTGAATATTCATTTGCACTATGTGGTACAGACTGTGTAGGCACTAATTGTTTTCCTTCCTTTCAAAAAAAGTAACTAACCAATATTTTCTTCTTGATTGTATCCCGAACATAGACCATCTATAAAAAGACTAAGTACTGAATAATTTTGTGCCTTAGTTTTGTTATTTTATGTTACTGCAAGCTGTTAATCAGAGATAATTGGAATGGGAAAGTAATGACAAACTATTTTTGTAAATGCACTTAATATTTATATGCATCTATTATATGTGTGTGCACAAAGAGACAGAAACAACAGGGATATTTCTATTCTAGAAATAGCACACCTGCTGACTGAATCACCCCTCTTCACAGTCAATCAGTCTTCAGTAAGAGTTAGACGGGTAATTGAAATCTATTGATAATGGCCCAAACTCATTTCATATAATAGCTTCATCTTCTTTCCCATCAACCCTTCTAACCTAAACTGATATATTGCTA